TTCTTCATTACTGTTTATGCATCTGTGTTGTGACTGGTCTTCTGGTTCTCTTTCTTCTTCACAGACTGGATGTGCTGTTCTCTGTCAGCTCCCATAAAGCCAGCTCTGAACACCACCTTGTATTCTAAGTACAGCCTTGTCTTTAGTTACACCCCTGGCATTAGTGACTGAGATTGTACTTCTCAGGACCTTTTGTGAGTCCCAACAAAGAGTCTTCTGCATCAGTTCCAAGGGTGGCATTTCTGGAGCTACAACTATTATAACCTCTGTTGTTTAGGATAACCTCAGGCTTTCTGATGTCTGAGATTAGAGGTGTTTCAGTTTCCTCAATTCAAAAGTGGAAACTGAAATAAATGGGTAACGAAGGCCTTTTTTGTCCTTGATGTGTGAATCCCTTTTCTGGACATGCATATCAGTGACTGTCTTGTCTTTTCCCTCAACAATTCATCTGTTATTTTTGCATGGGTTATTCATCTGGTTAGTGTTAACATTCTTTTGAAATGATCTTCTATATTAATAAACACTTCCCAAATTAACTGGTGAAGTCCCTTTAGAATCTTGGCTTAATAGGATGCAAATAAGGGTTATAGTGAACAATTCTTTTTCTTTGATTCCATCTCTATAACAAAAATTGCTGTGGATTTACATAAAGAGAACAAGATGTGTTGTAAAAAATCAGGGTTCAAGCTTAGCTCTGTGACCTTGGACATTTCATTTTATCTTTCTAGGCCTAGTGAATTGTAAGTGGAGGTGAATATCTTGCATCTGGGGTTCTTGAGGCAGGGATTCAAGGAGATAAAGTATTTGGGAAATGCTTTGTAAACGATATTGTACTATATGACAAGCAGGTTGTTATTAATAGAGGCCTGACTATTCCCAATTGTTTCTGCTTGGTCAGTTAGTTCTATACGAATAAATTGGAGAGGACAGGGAGGAAGGAAATGGCACTGGGCTGGGAGTCGGGTGATCTGGAATCCATCCGGGTGCTGTTCGGCAGTCAGTCGGTGACTTGATGTGACCTTGGCAAAGTCGCTTCACCTCATGTGCTTCTGTTACGTCATTGGTAATATGAGGTGGGTGAAAGAAAAGATGATCCAGAGACTTTCTTCCAGTTTATAAAGACATGTGACTTTTAGCCTTTAAATCATGAGAATATTATTTATTTAAGGATATCATTGAGCTTAGATTATTAAATCAGAAGTCTCACCAATTGTGGGTCCAAATAATATACATATGTTGAATATATAATTTTAAGGGATTATTTTGAAGAAAATGCCAAAACTTCATCTTTTAACCACTGAAAAGGAACTAATTAAATCTCCTCTTCACTACATTTTTCTATTGCATTTAGGAGCAATGTGTGTATTTAAAGGGAGGCTAAGGATTAACAGATGAAATTCTGTATGAGAAAGCAATTATGTCTATAGCACCTAAAGCACGTTTTATTGTGACACATTCTCTAATAAATTTATATTTGTTTGTTTTCCTTCATTTAACCAAAAAATGAATAATTGTTAAGAATCAGGCACCATGCTAATCACTGTAGAAGCAAAATTAAGAGAATTCCTATTATAAGACATGGTTGATATAGTGTAGAAAATAGCATGGCCTAAAATGTGACATCATTTTAGGGATACTTCATGTAATTGTACTTTGCAGATGTCACATTTTGGTAATTCTTGCAATGTTTTTTTTTTTGAGATCAAATCTCACTCTGTTGCCAGGCTGGAGTGCAGTGACGTTATCTCAACCCACTTCAACCCCTGCCTCCCAGGTTCAGTGATTCTCCTGCCTTAGCCTCCCGAGTAGCTGGGACTACAGGCACATGACACCACACCCAGCTAATTTTTGTATTTTCAGTAGAGATGGGGTTTCAGCACATTGGCAGTGGTCTCGATCTCTTGACCTCACGATCCACCTGCCATGGCCTCCAAAAGTGCTGGGATTACAGGCATAAGCCACTGTGCCTGGCCTCTTGCAATCTTTTAAGTCATCCTATTATTATAACTTTCATGGTGATCTGTAATATTTGATGTTATTATTGTAATTGTTTTGGGAGTGCCACAAGCCATGCCCACATAAGACAATAACTTAATCAATAAATGTTGTATATGTTCTGACTGCTGAAGGAAAAGAAACAAATTTAAAGTTACCAGACAATATATCACACCAAAATCTGTTTTCAGTGTTGTAGACATAACTGACTTCTCAAACAGAATTTCACCTGTTAATTCCTGCGTGTTTTGACTGACTGGCTGTTCCCCAATATTTCTCCCTATTCTCAGGCCTATTACCTGAGACACAAAGATACTGAAATTAAGCCAATTAGCCACCCAACAATGGCCTCTTAAATGTTCAAGTGAAAGGACGAGTCACATGTCTCTCACTTAAAATAAAAAATTAGTAATAATTAAGCTTAGTGAGGAAGGCATATTGAGGGTTGAAATACACTGAAAGCTGGGCCACTTGCCCTAAACTGTTAGCCAAGTGGTATATATAAAGGAAAAGTTATTGAAGGGAATTAAAAGTGCTATTCCAGTGAACACAGGAATGATAAGGAAACAAAACAACCTTATTGCTGATGAGATAATTGTAGTGATCTGGATAGAAGATCAAATCAGTCACAGCATTTCCTTAAGCCAAAGCCTAATACAGAGCAAGGCTCTCTCTTCAATCCTATGAAGGCTGAGAGAGATGAGGAAGCTGCACAGTAAATGTTAGAAAATAGCAAAGAGTAGTTCATGAGGTTTAAGGAAGGAAGCCATCTCTGTAACATAATGTACAAGGAAAAGCTGCAAGTGCTAATGTAGAAGCTGCAGCAAGTTATCCAAAAATATCTAGCTAAGATAATTGACAAAGGCAGCTATATTAAACAACAGATTTTCAATGGAGATTAAATAGTCTTCCATTGAAGAAAGTACCAACTTCAACTTTCATAGTGAGAAAGAAGTCAATGTCTGGCTTCAAAGCTTCAAAGGACAGGCTCACTTCTCTTTGGTAGGAGCTAATGCACCTGGTGACTTCAAATGGAAGCCAATGCTCATTCACCATTCTGAAAATACTAGGGCCCTTAAGAATTATGTTAAATATACTCTGCCCGTGTTCTATAAATGGAGCAACAAATCCTTGATGAAAGCCCATTTGTTTATAGCATAGCTTACCAAATATTTTAAGCCCACTGTTGAGACCTACTGCCCAGAAAAAGAAAGATTTATTTTAAAATATTGCTGCAGATTTGCAATACACCTGGTCATCCAAGAGTTCTCATGGAGAAATACAAGGAGATTAATGCTGTTTTCATGCCTGCTAACACAACAGCCATTCTTCAGCCACGTATCAAACAGTTATGATCCATGAATGATCAACAGCCATTCTATAGCTATGGATCAAAGAGTATTTTTGACTTTCAAGATGTATTATTTAAGAATATATTTCATAAGGCCTAGTTGCTGTAGATAGTGATTCCTCTGATGCATCTGGGCAAAGTAAATTGAACATTTTCTGGAAAGGATTCATAATTTGAAATGATATTAAGAACATTTACGGTTCATAAGAGTAGGCCAATATATCTATATTAACAGTAGTTTGGAAGAAGTTGATTACAATCCTCATGAATAACTTTGAAGGTTTCAAGACTTTGGCTTATGTCTATAATACCAGTGGTTTGGGAGGTAGAGACAAGAGGATTGCTTCAGTCCAGGAGTTTAAGACCAGCCTGGGCAACACAGTGAGATCCTGTCCCTACAAAATTGTTTTTAAAACTTAGCTGGGCATGGTCATGTACTCCTGTAGGAGGAACTGTCAAACTATTACAAAATCATCAGATCTTCTGAGAACTCTCTCACTCTAACAATAACAGCATGGGGGGAAAACTGCCCCCATGATCCAATCATATTCCACTAGGTTTCTCCCTTGACATGTGGAGATTATGGGGATTAAAATTACAGATGAGATTTGGGTGGGACAGAGAACCAAACCATTTCACAAGGTTTGAGAGGATTTATTCCAGTTTTGAAAGAAGTTCTACTATGGGTAAAATGCTAACAGTATCACATTCTATAAAAAAACTTTTGTGAAAGGGAGAGTCAATCAATGTGACAAACTTGAGTGTTGTCTTATTTTAAGGAATTGTCACAGCCATCCTAATCTTCAGCAACTACCATCATGTCAACCAGCAGCCATGAACATCAAGTCCAGATTCTTCACCAGCAAAAACATTACAAATTGCTGAAGGCTCAGATGATGGTTAGCAATTTTTTAGCAATGATATATTTTCAAATTAGGATATGTACATTATTTTTTTAGACATAATGCTCTTACACACTTAATAGACTGTAGTATTCATGTAAATATAACTTTTTTATGCACTGGGAGCCAAAAAACTTGTGTCACTTGCTTTATTGCAATATTCACTTTATTGTGGTGGTTTAGAACCCAACACACTATATCTGTAAGGTATACTTGCATAAGGAAGATAAAACAAAAATCCAGAATTATAGAATAAGAGATTAATTTTTCTGAAAAGATAGAGGGAATATAAAAAACAGCATATTTAAAATGCTTTATAGATTATAAGTGTTTCTTATGTTTTATTTAAATATTACACAGACTTTGTCAGGTATAGAACAAAATACCATCTTTTGGAAATCAGTTTAAAAGCTCTTGCAACTCTCAAAGCCTGAGCAATGTGGAGAAAATACTAATAATGTATATCGTTATTTAAATAATTATCAATAATTAAGCTATATGTAATCAATTTTTTCAAATTTTGAAATTTTTGCCTAAAATGACTTAGTTTTTCTTTTTTTCTTTTTTTTTGACAGAGTCTTGCTCTGTTGCCCAGGCTAGAGCGCAGTGGCATGATCTTGGCTCACTGCAACCTCCTCCTCCAGGATTCAAGTTATCCTGCCATCTCAGCCTCCTGAGTAGCTAGGACCACAGGTGCATGCCACCATACTTGGCTAATTTTTGTATTTTTTTTTTTTAAAGCTGGGGTTTCACCATGTTGCCCAGGCTGGTCTTAAACTCCTGAACTCAAGCAATCTATCTGCCTCATTCTCCCAAAGTGCTGGGATTACAGGTGTGATCCACTGTGCCTGGCCTTGGACTGGCCTTTGGCCTTTTTACATGTAGGCATGAATATTACCCTATTAGTCATTCTCTTTTTAAATAAGAAGGCTATAAGAAAGTTTTCAACTTACATAATGTAGGTATTTAATTCTGTGTATATTTTCAAGGTGAATTTCTCTAATACTTACAACACATTGGTTTGTGATCACAAAACTAGGAAAAATCTTAATTCCATTACCTAACTTCAGCATTATTCACAATAGACAAGATATGGAAACAACCTAAGGGCCCATAGAAAGATAACTGGATAAAGAAACTGTGGTACACGTACAATAAAGTACTATTCAGCCTTTAATAAAGGAGAGCCTGCCATTTGTGACAACATGGGTGAACTTGAGGTCATCCCGTTAAGTGAAATAAGCCAGACACAGAAAGGAAAATATTGCATGATCTCACTTATATGTGAAATATTTTTTAAAATGTCGACTATATAGAAACACAGAGTAGAATGGTGGTTATCAGGTTACCAAAGTTGGGGTGGGAGATGCTAAGGGAGGGAGGGTAAAAAAGTTTCAGTTACATAGGATGAAGCAGTCTGAAATCTAATGTACAGAATGAGGACAATTGTTAATAATATTGTATTGTTATTGCATTGTATATAAATACTGGAAATTTACTAAGAGTAGATTTTAGGTGCTCTTACAAAACAAGTGCTAACTATCTGAGATGATGGAAATGGTAATTGGCATGACTGTAGTAATCATTTTACTCTTTATATAGCAAAACATCATATTGAATACTTTAAATATATAATTTTAAAAATCATCTAACTTTACAGATAATGAATATTATATGCCCTTTTTCATAAAATAAAGTTATTTTTATAAAAGACATGTCTTGCTCAATCACAAAATCAGGACTATAATTATGGTCTCTGAGACCAGTTTTCTTGCCACTATACCACAGCCAGAGTAAAGATTGCAACAAGTAGAACTTCATTTGATATGGGAGGTGCCTAACATTCTCTTGGTTGCTGTTTTTCTGTCAGCACAATATTTTTACATGAATTATTTAAAAAATAATTAATGTTGTGCTTAAAATTACTACTACTTGCTTGTTGATGAAAAGAGTCAAACTCTGTAAAATATTTGATGAGATTTATTCTAAGCCAAATAGGAGGAGGACCATAACCCATGACATAGCCCCAGGAGATACCAAAAACATGTGCCCAGAGTGGTCGGGCTACCGCTTGGTTTTATACGTTTTAGGGAGACATGTCATCTGTCAATAAATGTAAGATGTATTTTGGTTCCATCTGGAAAGAAAGGCAGGACAACTCAAAGGTACAGGGCTCCCAGGTCACAGGTGGATTGAAAGCTTTTCTGATTGACAATTGGTTGAAACACTTATTATCTAAAGATCTGGAATCAATAGAAAGGAATGTCTGGGTTAAGATAAAGAGTTGTGCACACAAGGTTTTATCATGCAAATGAAAGCTCCAGGTACCAGGCTTCTGAGTTTTTAATCAGACCTAAAAAGGTGCCAGACTCCTCTTAGTTAATTATCTCCCGGATCAGGGAAAAGATATGGAAAGGGAGGAGGATTCTCTACATAATGTAGATTTTCTTACAAGGGACAGCTTTACAGGGCCATTTCAAAGTATGTCAAATAAATATATTGTGGAGCAAAATACTTCAGTTTCTTTCAGGGCCCGCCACCAGTCGTGCTGGAATCCTATTGCTACAAAAAGCCAGTTTTGCCAGTTTTAAGATCTCTGAATGTTAATGCTGGTCAGTTGTGCCTGAATTCCAAAGGAGGAATGTATAATGAGGCATGTCCAACCTCCCTCTTTCCATCATGGCCTAAACAAGAGTTTCAGGTTTATTTGGAATGCTTTTAGCCAAGAGGGGTTCCATAAGTTGTTGGGGGCCTTAGAATTTTATTTTTGGTTTTCATATTGTACAACACTAACATTTCAAGGATGTTTGACTCTTTTGTGGCCTCAAATGCCACATGTTAAGTAGCCAAACATAAAACAAGAAGATATGGTGGTCAGAGTTATTGCTCCCAACTTTGCCTAATTTTCAGTGACAAATCTTTAAAAATGAAATGTATATTTTTATTAAGATGTGACAGGATTTTACTTGGATTTGTTTTATTGCTAAGTAAAATTCTAATTTTACTTTATTTGAACACATTGAATATAGTGAATCTTAAAATTCAATAACTGGCTACAATTTAATTTTTTTTAAAAGCATAATTTTCTGGTTTCATGAATGTGATCTTTGTTTATATTTTATATTATTTGGATATTGTTAAAGCATTGTGTCCATTTCTGGACTGCAGTTTAGAAGAAGCTTATAAAAATAGAGAGAGTGTGTATATAAAATGAGCACTTTAATGACAGGTTAAGAGAATTGACATTGCTTAACCTGAAAAAGAAATCTCAGGAAATGTGCTAATTATCATCCTCAGGCAACTGAAGTGATTTTATGGGAAATTTTTCTTTCCACTTAGAAAGGAGAGATTTGGGTCTTGTGTTAGAGATGGTGGAGCATATCAGGAATTCAGCAAGTAAGACTGCAGTCTTTATCTGTAAATATCTCTTAAGAATACATTTAAGATGTACAATGAAATTATTACAATGAAAAGATTGAAATAACTTACTCAAGCATGTGGCATTGTCTCACCATGCCTTCATCCTAAAGATGATCAACTAGAAGCCCAGAGAGAAAGTGCTAGAGAGAGAACTTACATCAAGATGTTGCATCAAGCCTTACAACCGGGCTTTTGCAAGTCTCTGCAGTACTTCTGAATACTTACTGAGTGACATAATATTTCATTAGAGTTGACTGCACAAAATTAATTGGAATGGGAGGTCAAGCTCAGGATAAATTGAGAAATGCACCTCTTTCCAAGTGTTGCAGGTGATGGCTTATTTTGTTAGAGTGGTGATTTTCTACCAGTGTGGCTAAAGAGGAAAAGATGTGTATTTTGATTGACTTGCAATTAGATATTATGGAATATTTGTTATGTGCCCTAGATAATTGTGCTTTTCTTTTATAAACTAGAAATAAGTTTGTAGGAGTGGATATATTGTATCCCAACATGACTGAATAGTTTATACTCAGAATTTTTCACACGTAGCAGTGGTGCTAATGTTTCACCAGGTATGGCTTTTTGAGAGCCATGATTACCACTGACTCATTCCTTTTCTATGACTTGAAATTGTGTAGGAAAGTGAAGGGTGGAAATGTTTAAAGAGATTTCCGTGTTGCAGAAAACACTAAGGTATAGCAAAATGAAAGAGTTGTAAATGGCATGGATGCTGTTTTCCCCAAACCCTCATCTGAGAGATGTAAAACTTAAAGCCAGGAAAAAGACGTGGCTGGTATTTGGAGACAGGTGAGAACTAGAAACAAGGAATCAGAAGGAAAAACAAAATTGAAAGCTGCAAATGCGTTTTAAGGATTGATAGGGAAACGCTGATGGCAGGTTTTTAGTGACTAAGACAGTTATCATACGTATCTTTAGACAGAAAGAGGAAAGACAATTCTCTCATGACACATAACTCTCTTTAAAGCATTAACATAAAGCACTTTTCTAAACGGAACAAAGGGACTAATATTGAAAAAGGAAGTGAACAATGTGACGAGCACTCTGAAAGGCTGACATGTATTGACAACTAAGGTCTTCTCACTGATATTTTGTGGTTTCTCTTTGAAAAATGGAGGTGATCGTCACCTTCTGGGAGAAGATATGTGGCTATTTGAATATCATTGGCAAGTATCTAGCTGTTTCACATCTCCAGAGAACCAAAAGTAAATTATAAAACTGACAGAAATATTAAAATTCATCATTTTTGATCAATGCAGGAATTTGTTTTAATATTTAACTATTCATTAAATTTTTGCATTTTGTCTTCTTCCTACTGTCAGTAAGTAAGGTTTAATGGAATTAAAGTCTATATTTACTCCCTTTTATGGCTTGTATGCCCTCAGGATAATGTCTGACACATATTAACACTCAGTAAATATTTTTATTATTGTTGTGTATAAGGCCACTGCTATTCTTATTTTTAGTATTATATGATATTGGTGTTTAGAAGGGAGTTAGCTAGGTAAGGGGCCTGTATAAACTTATACAGCTACATAAACAGAACTTGGTTATACTGGCTTTGTTTATCTCCCAGTCCAGAACAATACATTTTTGAGTAAACAACTTTGTTAGAGGAGGTCATATATAGTTTTGATGAGCATCCACATTATCTGAGATTTGATACTTTAATAACCCTCTTATTAATTGCTTAGTTAATTCATTAAAATATTGATTTGTTTATTCACCAATGTTTCTTGAGACCTATTATGTGCTGCACTGGTTTACATAGAGCAGTGAACAAAACCAATAGAGTTTTCTGAGTTTATGAAGTTTACCTTCTGTGATGGGGGAGAGACTATCAAATAAATAAAACATTTATGTCCGATGTTGGAAAGTATCATTTAAAAAAAAAAAAAAGACCAGGCAGGGGGACAGGGGATTCTAGGAGACATTAGGGGATTAATTTAGAATTTTAATTAGGTAGGTCATGAAAGACCTCACTGAAGAGGCAACATTTGGACAAGCACTTGAATTAGGCAAGGGAGCAAGCAATGGCCTGTTTGGGAGAGCAGCATTTCAGATGGAGGAAACAGCAACTGCAAGTCCTGTAAGGAGTCGTGTGCTTGGCATATTTGCAGAGCATCAAGGAAGCTGGTGAAGTCGGTGAAAATGAGAATGTTGGAGATGAGCTTTGGTGAGGCCACAGTACATCTCCATCTTCATGCCCTCATGTCTTCTGACTAGTGGCTTCTGTCACAGTCAGATCTCAGATATGCAAGGCAACACTCCTGGGACTAGGCAGTCCACCTTCTCCCTATTATAGTGTGCTTTCTGCCACAACAAGCTCCTTTAGGCAAGTAACATCTGAGCCTTCTGCCAGATTTAAATAATAAGTTCCTCCAGAATACTGAACTGGGGCTGGGAGTTAACCTTCAGTGAATGTCCTTATATATCAGAAATTTGGGACAGTATCAATAATTTCCCCTTAGAGAACGTGCATATCTCTTCTGATGCAAGAACCTCAGATTGCTGATGTGAGAGACAGAAATGCAAAGTAGTTTGCAAGAGGTGAAATTATTTCTATTCTGTTTCCAAAAGCAGTGCAAGTATAATGTATACCTTCAAAAAGTTGTTGTAGATTCAGACCATGTTTCCTTTAAGGGAGCTGTGTGTTTTTCTACAAGGTTCCTCAGAGCCCCTCTAGTAAGCTTTGGGGAATCATTGCATTGCTAAATCACTACATTAGCCTGCTGCCTTCTGGAAAATGCTGATCCCATTGCTTCTGTCAGCAGGAGAAGTCAGCCCTTGGGCTGGAACCAACCATACTGAGAACTAACTGAGAGGTGGGGGAGGGTTGGGAAGCCCTTCAAAAGAAGTTCAGATCTTCAGTGTAGGGGGCAAACAATCCTAGGAACTGCTGTACTAAATAGAAAGCACCTGTTTTTATCATTGCTCTTCATAAAGTAGCTTTTAAAAAATGCATTACAGTTTATAAAGCTTTTCCCTATCCCTTACCTCATTTAGTATCTTCTTCAATACAGTGTGGCCTTATTATATAAAATGATACAAACCAGCACATTTGCATCACCTGAAGCTTGTTAGAAATGTCCCATGCAGGCCTACTGAGCTAGCATTCACGTTTAACAAGACCACTAGCCCCTTAAAGTTTGAGAACATTGCTATAAAGGCTACAGAACAATAATTTCTACTGATTACAGTAAGGAAATAGAGAATCAGCATGATTGGGTGCCTGAGCCAAGGTCACCCATTTAGTAAGCAGTGAAGTCGGGCCTCATACCCAAGCTTTGTGCCTCCTGGTCCAGCAGTCTCTTTGCTGCAGGCACTTCCCGCTCCACAATCCCTTCATAGCATGCCTGCAATGTACTAGCTTTTGAAAGAAAAACAACCCTTTTTCTCTGAACCCAGACTATCACCTGCTCTTATTTTCTCCACCAGCTGTTCTGGGCTCCTCCCTCATCTGCTTGCTGATTCTAGAAATGCAAACACCCTGAAAAGCTCTGCAGCATTGCCCACATGGTGCCCTCAATGAGTGAATCTGATAAGAATTGCTAGCATCAGTCACTTGCTCAGAGCTTCTCTGCAAAAGCCTTCTGGCCTCACTTAGAGGAAAGGGTACAAATTCAGAACAAGACAACTGAGATAACCCAGCTGGAACATACTGGAGGGTACAAATGGATTTTTCCACTCTTGCTTACTGTTAGGAGATAACGACAAACAACAAAGCTGAGCATAGCATCACAGAAAAACACATGTGCAGAGAGCTTCACAGCCCACCATTCAACAGAGTCTTGCTCTGTCACCCACGTTAGTACGCAGTAGCGAGATCTCAGCTCAATACAACCTCTGTCTCCTGGTTTCAAGTGATTCTCCTGCCTCAGCCTCCCAAGTAGCTGGGATCACACGTGTGCACCACCATGCCCGACTAATTTTTGTATTTTTAGTAGAGATGGGGTTTCACCATGTTGGCCAGGCTGGTCTCGAACTCCTGATCTTAAGTGATCCACCCTCTGCAGCCTCCCAAAGTGCTGGGATTACAGGCATTAGCCACTGGCACCCAGCCTTTAAGGATATAAAACTATGTCTAGATGTCACTTAGATGACACTGAGAAAGTGAGTACCTCTTTCTCGCCAACTAATTGACCCAACAAGTAGGCAAAACTTAGTCTGCTGGGTAAACGACCTCTCAGCTATAGAAATTGTACTTTTGGTGAGGGAAAATTCTAATAGAATTTTAAATATTTGATTCATAGTTTCTGAACTAGAATTCCTTAAGTAAAAAACATTCACTAAACTCAGGTTGAATTCTCACGTTTTATTAGTCAGTTTGTTAACTGAAAAAAGTGACATAAGACATTTCCTGTGAACCTACTATGTGCATGAAGGTCATCATAGTAGGTGATAGGGAAGGTTCTGGCATGAGTGCTATATTTCCTAAGAGCCTGCAGTTTAATAGAATTCACATATGTGTGCATGTCAAATGATAATGGAAAACAAAGGGACATTCCTCCCTTAACCTCAAAGGATGAAGTTGCAATCTAGGAGCTGGCGTTTGAATTATGTATAAACAGAAGGTAAGTTTGGGACATTCAGAGTCTGCAGAGTAGGGAAAGTCATGGGCGAGGTGGGAGAAACAATGTGAATAAGACACATTGAAAAACGCTAGGTTTGTATTTGGAATAGCAAATAATGTGTTGAATATGACTTGTAATCTATCAACTCAGAGATAAAAGAAATATGCTTTTCTTTTTTTCTTATTATATATTTAAGGTTACATGATGTTTTGATATACATAGATACAGTGAAGTGATTACTACAGTCAAGCCAATGAACACACCTATCATCTCACATAGTTATCTTTTTGTTGTTGTTAAGAACACTTAAAATCTCCTCCCCTAGCAAATTTTTAGCATGTATACAAATATTACTCACAATAGTCCTTATGCTGTACACTAGATCTTTATCCTATACAACTGCAACTTTTTACCCTTTGATATTCACCTCCCCATTCCTCCCCACTCTCCGACTTTGGTAACCAGCATTCTTCTCTCTGTTTCTATGTATTTGACTGTTTTTTAGACTCCATGTATAAGAGAGATGCAGTATATGACTCTCTGTGCCTGGCTTATTTCACTTAGCATAATGTTTTCCAAGTTCATCTATGTTGTTGCAAATAACTGGATCTCCTTTTTTGAAGGCTGCATAGTATTTTATTGTGTGTGTGTGTGTGTGTTTGTGTGTGTGTGTGTGTGTTTATTGTGTGTGTGTGTTATTGAGCTGTGAGTTCCTTATCTATTTTGGATATTAACCACTTATCAGATATATGGGTCATATATATACAATAAAACCTAGAAGGTGGTATTTGAAATGAGCACCTTTTCACATACCTGTTTTATATTTTTATATCCTCCTTGGAAAAATGTCTATTCACGTCCCTTGCCTATTTTAAAACTGAGTTATTTGATTTTTGTTGTTCAGTTGTGAGTTCCTTATATATTTTGGATATTAACCCCTTATCATATTATATATGCTTGTATAGATCAGGATTTCAAGACCAGCCTGGCCAACATGGTGAAACCCCATCTCTACTAAAAATACAAAAATTAGTCGGGCATGGTGGTGCACACCTGTGATACACATATATCACAATTTCTTTTCCATTCATCTGTTGCTGAACATGTAGATTGTTTCCATTATCTTGGCTATTGTGAATAATGCTGAAGTGAACATGGGAATGTAGGTATCTTGATAAAGTACTGATTTCATTTCCTTTGGGTATACACACAGAAGAGGGATTGCTAGGACATGTGGTAATTGTATTTTTAATTTTTTTGAGGAACTTCTGTATTGTTTGTCATAATAGCTACACCAATTTGCATTTTCACTAACAAAGTATAAGTATTTTCCTTTCTCACCACCCTTGCCAATATTTGTTATGTCTTATCCTTTTGATAACAACCATCCTAACAGGTGTGAGGTGATAGCTCATTGTGGTTTTGATTTGCATTTCCATGACTAACAACATTGAACATCTTTTCACATACCTGTTTTATATTTTTATGTCCTCCTTGGAGAAAGGTCTATTCAGGTCTCTTGACCATTTTAAAACTGAGTTACTTGATTGTTGTTATTGAGTTGTGAGTTTCTTATATATTTTGGATATTAACCCCTTATCAGATACATGGTTCATAAATATTTTCTCCCAATCTTGAGTCTGTTTTTCATTTTGTTTATTGTTTCCTTTGCTGGGCAGAAGATTTTTAGTTTAATGTGGTCCCACTTGTTTATTTACTTTTTTGTTGCTCATGCTTGCTGTCACAGCCAGAAAACAACAAAAAAATCACTGCAAAGGAAAATGTTAATAAGCTTTTCTCACATGTATTCTTCGAGAAGTTTTATGGCTCTATGTTTATATCTTTAATTCATATTGAGTCGATTATTTTGTAGTGTAAGATAAGGTTCCGATTTTATTGTTTTGATGTGGATATACAGATTTCCCAACATCATTTATTGAAGACACTCTCCTTTCTTCATTCTATCTTCTTTCTTTGTCAGAAATTAGTTAACAATATATATGCCTAGATTTATTTCTGGACTCTCTATTCCATTGGTCTATGTGTCGTTTTTCATGGTAGCACCATATTGTTTTTATCTTGGTAATATAATCTGAAATCAGGAAGTGTGATGCCTCCAACTTTGTTTTCCGTTTACAGGACTGCTTTGGCTATTCAGGTACTTTTGTTATTCCATAAAAATTTTAGAATTAATTTCCATGAAATTGAAATTATTAGAAGGATTGTGTTGAATCTGTATATTGCTTTGAGTATAAATAATGTTAACATTATTAATATTTCAATCTATGAACAAGAGATATATTTTATTTGTATCTTCTTCAATTTATTTCATCTTATGGTTTTTCAAGTGTACAGATATTTTACCTCATTGGTTGAATTTATTTCTAAGCATTGTATTTTTTTAATGCTATTGTAAATGGATTTATTTTCTTGATTTCTTTTTTGGACAGGTAATATTTAGTGTAAAGATATACAATTGATATTTGTATTTTTTTAATCCTGCAACTTTACTAAATTTGTTTATTAGTTCTAAGAGTTTGTTGTGAAGTCTTTAGGGTTTTCTACATAAAGGATCATGTCACCTGCAAATAGAATAGTTTTTATTTGGCTATCTTTTATATTTTTTTCTTGTCTGGTTATTCTTGCTGGTACCTCCAATACCATGTTGAATAGAAGTGGTGATAGTAGGCATCCTTGCCTTAAGCCAGACCCTAGAGAAAAGCTTCTAGTATTTTCCCATTGGTTTTAATGTAGACTATTCATAAGTGGCCTATAATATGTTGAGTAAATTTACGTCTACACCTAATTTTTTGGTGGGTTTTTATCATGAAAGTGTAAAAACTCTGTCAAATTCTTTTCTTGCATTTATTGAAATCATATATATATATATATATATATATGTATATATTTGTTTTTCTTAGACACGGTCTGCTGGCTCTGTCACCCAGGCTGCTGGAGTATAGTGGTGTGATCTTAGCTCACTGTAACTTCCACCCTGCAGTCTCAAGTGAGCCACCCTACTCAGCCTCCCAAATAGCCAGGACCACAGGTGCCACACCACCACACCTGGCTAATTTTTATATTTTGGTGGAGACAGGGTTTTACCACATTGCCCAGGCTGGTCTTAAATGCCTGAGCTCAAGTGATCTGTCCACCTTGGTCTTCCAAAGTGCTGGGAATACAGGCATGAGCCACTGCATCTGGCTTGATCATGTGGTTTTTATTTTTCATACTGTTAACGTGGTGTATCGTGTTGATTAATTTGCCTATGTTGAACCAACCTTGCACCCAAGGGATAATCTCACTTAGTCACAATGTATAACTTTTTAGATGAGTTGTAAAATTTGGTTTACTAGTATTTTATTGAAGATTTTTGCATCTATGTTCATCAGAGGTATTGGCCTATAGTTTTCCTTTCCTGTGGTATGTTTTCTGGCTTTCATATCAGGATAATACTGGCCTCATAAAATGAGTTTGTATGTATTTTCTCTACTTCTATTTTTGAAATAGATGAATAGGATGGGTATTAATTATTCTCTCTATGTTTGGTAGAATTCAGCCATCAATGCATCTGGTCCTAGGCTTTATTTTGTTGGGAAGTTTTGAATTACTACATCAATCCCTTTATGTTAATAAGCTTTGTATGTTTATGATTTCTATTTCTTCTTGATTCAATCTTGGTAGGTTGTATGTTTCTAAAAATTTATTCATTTCTCTTAGGCTATCAAACTTGTTTACAGATAATTTTTCATAGTAGTCCCTCATGTCCTTTTTATTTCTAAGGCATTTATTGTAATGGTTTCACTTTCATTTTTTATCTTATTTGTATATTTAAAAAAATTCTTAGTGATTCAAGCTAAAAGTTTGTTAATTTTATTTTTTCAAAAACTCAACTCTTAGTTTTGATTTTTAAATAGTTCTAGTTTCTATTTGATTTATTTCTGATGTAAGCTTTACTACTTTTTTCCTTCTGTTAACTTTGGAATTAGTTTCTTTTTCTAGTTTTTTGAGGTATAATGTTAGGTTGTTTATTTGAGATCTTTCTTTTTTTTAATGTAGGCATTCACTGCTGCCAACATCCTCCTTAACAGTGCTTTTACAGCATCCATAGTTTTTAGTGTGTTGTATTTCCATTTTTGTTTGTCTCAAGAGATTTTAAATTTTAACCTTTGATTTTTTTCTTCGACTCATTTTTTTTCTTTGTTTAGAAACATGTACTTTAATTTCCACATATTTGTGAATTTTCTAGATTTTCCCCTTTTATTGATTTCTAGTTTCATACCATTGTAGTTGGAACGGATACTTGATATGATTTCAATATTTTACATTTGCACAGCCTTGTTTGTGGCCTAACATTTAATCTATATTCAACAATGTTCCATGAGCCCTTAA